CGGGAGGTGGGTAGAGCCAGACTAAGGGGTACATGCGCTGTGGGGGCAGCTGGGGCTCCATCCACTGGGACTTGCTGAGAGGCTGTGTCCACAGGACCTCAGAATTGTCATCTAAGAGACCAAAGAGGGAGTGTTTGCGCAGGGGGTGTTAGCTCCTCACACTTCCAGGGTGCAGGTACTGGGTGCTGGGTGCCAGGTGGGCTCATACAGGTGTCTGCTGGCCCATGTCAGTGGAGCCCTTGCAGAAGGTGCTCAGGGCATCAGGGGTGAAGGGCTGCCAGGCTATACTGTGTGAATCTGATTGGACAGCAATGACTGCAGTCAGAGGAGGGCCAAGAGGATGTGAGGACACAGGAGGTGTCATTGGACCAGTGACGGGGAGTCCTCTTTTTCCTTCTGGGCACCGGAATTCTTCAGGGTGGGAATGTGTCTCAATGCCCGTCCCTTTCGTTGGTGAGCCAGGTTTGGGGCTCCTGCACAGGACCCTGGTGTGGCCCCATGAGAGGCCTATGAGAGCCTGGGAGAGCCCAGGAAGGCAGGAAGAGGCTGCTGCTGGAGGCAGAGCCGGGTGCTCGATCCTCCTGGAAAAGCTCCTTCAAGTTCCTACAAAACCCAGTCCTCCCCCTGTGCCTGTGAAAGGTGCCAGGAAGCCCTAGATAAGATCTGAAGCCTTCCAGGAATAATAGGTGTGGCCTCAGGCCCTGGCTTTTCCTGCAGGCGGCTCCTTTTCAGCCCTCTCTGGGCATTAACCTTATCAGACCATCCCTCTGAGCTCAGTCCTGCAGAACCCACAGCCCCGCTGCAGGGTAAGAAGCACACCTACAGCCCGTGAAGAATTCACTGTGCATTGGAAGGGCAGTGGGGCGTGGAGAAGTGGGCAATATCTTGAGGGCCTGAGCAGGCTGCCAGGAGGTGGCCTGAAGAGGCAGTGGGGTGTATGTAGGTGGACATGGAGCTCTGCTGTGCTGACTTGGACAAGTTACTTAACCTCACTGAACCTCAGTTTCCTAAGTCGTATAATTATACTGATTTCAGAGAGTTGTGGTATGTGATAAGTGGGTGAAGGCATATCAAGTGCTGAAAAGAGTGCCTGGCACATGATAGGGGCGCCGTCCACAGTAGCCAGTCCTATTATTAGTACAATAAAAGTTCATGCCCATAGGCCAAGGCTGGGTGAATCCTTTGCCCACTAACCGCCATTCAGCCTAGGGATCGGGCTAGTTGCCAGATGGCCTCTTAAGGCATTTTTCTAGCATTCCGTGAGTGTTAGGACCTCTAGATTTGGTGGGTGGAGGGAAGGGGCACAATGCGAGCCTCTTGGGTGAGGGACACAGTGCAAGCCAAAGCAGAGGCACAAAGAGCATCGCGTGTTAGTTTTCTATTGCTGCGTAACCCATTACTACAAACTTAGTGGCTTACAGCGATGCCTGTGTGTTATCTCCCAGTTCTGGAAGTCAGAGAGAGTACGGCTCAGTCCATCACAAGGCTGCAATCAAGGTGTCTCCAGGCTGACTTCTTGTCTGAAGGCTCTTCGGGACAAAGTCACCTCCCAAGCTCATTGGTTCTCGGCAGAATTTACTTGCTTGTGGTTGTAGGACGTAGGTGCCCTTCTTTTTGCCGTCACTGGCCAGGGATTGTCCTCAGCTCCTGGAGGCCATCATGTTCCTTGCACATGCCCTCTCCTTCAAGCCCGCAACATCGCATCGGTCTTGCTTGTGCTTTGAATCCCTGCCTCTCCCTCCAGTCCCAGATTTAAGGGTCACATGTGATGGACCAGGCTCTCCTGAGTAGTCTCCCTAGCTTAAAGGCCACTGACTTTGAATTTACTTATAGTTGCAAAATCCCTTCCCAGAAGTACCTAGATTAGTGCTTGATTGAGTAACTGGGAGGCGTACACCCAGGACTCTCTGCTGGTTCTGCCTACCACATGTGGCGTGTGCCTGGGGCAAGGAGCGGAATAGACAGGGGGTTGGAGGTGGACAGGGCAGCCATTGGAGCAGGAGGGGCAAAGTGGGTGTTGGTGGCGGGAGGGATGTAAGGCCACTGTAGGCCTTGAGTGGCAGGTGGAGGAAGGGACATTGGACATCCTCACGCCACCCTTGACGATGGCCCTGCATCACAAGGTGTGTTTATTCCAACCCGAGTGATTTCCTGCAGACCCACTGCCACCTGAGCCTCCACACCTGGGTTCCCTCCGATGAGGGTTCCTGGGCCTGAAACCTTGGACTGCTCCCTCTGGGATAGGTGGACAAGCGCCAAGGCCGCTGAGCTCCAGAGCCCAGAGCAAGCTCTCTACAGCACCACACAGCTCCCCTGTAGCTGGCCTGGTGTCCCAAGGAAGCCGGGCCCCTTGCAGCAGCCAAAACCCAAAACTGAGTCAGGAAACCAGTTGAAGAAGGCATGTGCCCACCAGGGCAGTTCTTCCTCCCATCACCAACCCAACCTCTAAGAAGGCCTGCAGAGGTGTGGGGGAGTCAGCATTCATGAGCTCAGCAGCATTTCTGGAATGCAGTGGCCATTCCTCGCCCTGCTTTGAATTCATTAGTTAAAAATTCAACAAACCCTTGATCATCGTTGAATAACTGTGTTCTAAAAATGTTCTCAGTGATCCAAGGTTTTGAAATTCAAGTGTTCCTGAAACATAGTCAGACCTTGTCTTTATTCTCAGCAGTCTCAATCAAGGCGTGCAGCCCTTTGTGGTCTCAGAGCCCTGGGCATACATGATTCAGGTTTTCTTTGTGGATCCATTGGTGGTGGTTTGGTAAACAACCATTCTACTAGTTCTGATGGTAGTAAACCCTAGAGCAGGCTTCACTTCCTCTGGCTGAGTGGGCTCCCCTCAGAAAGCAGTGATCTCCAGACAATGAAAGGGACACCAGACAAGTTTTAAAGCCCCTTACTATCTGGCTCAGAACATGTCAGGAGAAAGGGGAGGGTCCCTGGTGGGAAGGGGCCTAGAGGTGAGAAAGGTTCTAGCTCTCCCTGCTTCCAGGTGAGTCAGGTGGGAGCTGCCAGGATAAGGGAGTGGGAGAAGGCAGTGGAGGTGTCCCAGCAGGCCTGGACCCTACAGCAGCTGCGTCCACTTGGTCTGGCCAGGAAGGGACAGCAGTTCTGTTGTTGGACTTTAGCAGTATCCCTGGAATGCTGGCCACACACATTATGCCAGACCGCACCAGAGAGCCAGGGAGAAGGTCGGAGGGCTAACGAGAGAGACATGCTCCTGTGCAGGGTGGGCGGGCAGCCCCCATGGCTGGGCCACGCCCTGCCACACAACCTGCTGGGCCTTTTACATTCTGTCATTAAAAGCAAGTCACAGGGCCGGCCGAGTGGTGCGTTGGTTAAGAATTGGCTTGGGACATCAGCTCCGAGCATCAGGGCCCCGGTTCGGATCCCACATGAGGGCCAGTGACGCTGCGGCCTCTACAGCTAAGATGGTGAACAACAGCTCGACCTGGAGCTGGGCTGCCGTGAGTCGCCAGTGACAGCGTAGGCTGCAGTGAAGCTGCAGTGGGCTGCCATAAGCTACCGTGTGTGGCCAGCAGCCGGCGTGAGCAGCCAGCAGCCAGTGTGAGCTGCCAAGAGCCACCATGAGTGGCTGTCCAGTGGCCGGCAACCAATCTGCCTCACCCGGGAAGAGCGCAATGATAATACCAACATGGGCCAGTGAAGCGACGTCCTCCACAACTAGACTGAAGAACAAAAGGACAGCAACTTGTCTGTTCCCCTTCCCCCGATTACCCAACGCTGTTCCCTCCCTCAATTCCCCAATAAAATCTTAAAAAAAAAAAAAAAGCAAGTCACATTCCTACAGACTGAGCGTAGCATGCGTCCCAGTAGCCACATCATCACCAGGCTGCAAAATCGTGCTTATGACTTAAGGCTGTATGTAACTCATTTAGGGGTAGTCTGGTGTCCAAAGAGAAGACATCTCTTTAGAAGGAAACATTTTCTTGGAGGTTTTGTGTCTGGCGACCCCCTGTACCTCCTAATGTTTAGGTTAGGGACATCAAAGCCTATGGTCTGTTTTATTTTGCTTTGTGGCAGATTTTGTTAACTCCAGGCTGGGAGATGGGGCTCGGGTGGTAGGCTGGGTCTGCCATCTGCTTTTTCCCAGGCGGTAAGATCTAGGAATGGACCGACATCCCACAAGTTACTGTGTTGGCCGGTCAGGCAAGTTTCCTGCTTGCTCTGGGCCTGTTTCCCTCTCCATACAGGGGAATTACAGCATATTCTTCACACGAGCGGGGCCATCGTCTCTGCCTCCAGCCTCGTCTCAGCCTGGTCCTTTCTCTCCTGCAGCTCCTACCCAAGCCTCTGAGCTGGAGGGATGGAGAACTCCTCGGCAGCGTCGGCCTCCTCCGAGGCTGGGAGCAGCCGCTCCCAGGAGATTGAGGAGCTCGAACGCTTCATCGATAGCTACGTGCTCGAGTACCAGGTGCAGGGGCTGCTGGCGGACAAGACAGAGGGCGATGGTGAGAGCGAGAAGACGCATTCGCACATCTCCCAGGTGAGCACTGGCCCGGGGAGGGGAAAAGGGAGAGGGGTCAGGGCCTGGGCAGGTATGAGGCCTTGCTTGGCAAACTCAAAGAGGGTGGTAAGGAGGCCCTAATTCCAGACAGGGTCTGGCTGCCTGGCCCTAGATTGCCGAGGTGTGGATGGTCCCACCCACAGAGTGTGGGATCCAGGCAGGAAGTCTCTCTCAGCCCCTGTGACCCACTTCTTCTCCATCCTACCCCACTGAGCAGCTGGGGCCCAGCCAGACGCACGATTCATTGAACACATGTTTATTGAGCACCTACTATGTGCTACGTACTATTCCCCATCCTCCACAAGCTCCTGTTCTAGAAGAGATCTGGAGATTGTAGCTTGTCCAGAATGCACACAATCAAAAGGCCATCACCTGTGAATATTTTCTCTGATTTCAAATACAGGCAGTTGTTGGCGGCCACAGAATTGAGTCTCTCCGGCAGTGCCCCAGGGCTCTGTGTGACAGACCTAGTTAGGTGCATGAGGCGTTCTGGCCAGGATCTCAGGCCGGTGTGACCCCCTCCCGGATCAGTCTGCGGCAGCCCTGGGCTTGGGTGGAAGTCTCAAGTTCCTCCGATTAGAGGGAGCCACTCAGCGCAGCAGCCATACTGTATGCACCTTTGCCTAGCGCCGTAAATCCTCAGTAGCTATTTGTTCAAGAGTTGGCTCCACATTTGCTTCTAGCTGCCTACACGACCTGGGGGCAAATCCCTCAACTTCTCTGAAGCTTGGTCTTCTTGTCTGACCACTGATCCTGCTGCCTCAGGAATGTTGGAAGGTCAAAGGCGATAAGAAGCTCAAAGCTACAAAGAAGCAGGGTGTTGCCTGCACAAGGAGATATGGGAGGGTCTCTTCCGTGTAGGACCTGGGCCCCAGGTGCCCACCTCTTATACTTGTTTTCCTGCCTCAAGCCTGACAAGGAGAGGGGAGCCACTTGGGAGAAAAGCTGAGCGAATGCAGCTGGCCGGGTGGGCAGAAATTCAGACCCTGCAGCCAGCTTTTCAGAAAGGCAGCATGAACCTATGGTTTTCCTAGAACTCAGGACCAGGAGCCAAACCAGGGAAGCCATGGTGGTCCTGTACCTTCTCTCCACTGGGAGAAGGAAGAGAAAATCAGCCCTGGGAGAGAAATGGAAATAGATGTGATGCTTCCCTTCGTGTCCTTGAAGTTCTAGAATCACAATTAGTATAAGCCTGTGATTTGTCCAGTGTCCACTCCAGAAGTGTGCATTGAGCACCTGCCCTGCGGCTGGGTATCCGCCAGGAGTGAGCCAAGCAGACAACCGTTCTGCCCTCGTGGAACTTCTGTTTAATGGTGGGTGATCATTGCTGTGGAGAAAAATAAAGCAAGACAATGGAATGGGGACTGATGCGAGACAGGAAGGGTTTGCAGTTTTAAACAGGATGTCAGGGAAAATGTCCCTGAAGAAGGTGGAGCAGGGAGCCATGCAGATCTCTGGGGCAGGAGTGTTCCAGGCAGAGGGAACAGCACGTGGAAAGGCCCGAGCTGGAAGAGTATTCCAGGTGCAGCAGTGTGGCTGGAGCAGAGGGAGAAAGAGGGAGAGCCAGAGGAGATGAACCGGGGAGAAAATGGGGACATGTAGACAAGATGAGCCAGGGCTGACTCCTGGGATCCGACAACATTTAGAAAGCAGAGGTGTATGGAGGAACCAGCCGGAGACCAGGAGGGGGTTGGCAGTAAGGCAGGAGGGAAACCACGCAAGGGTGGGGGCGTGTTGGAAGCCCGAGGAAGGCTCTGTTTCAAGGAGGTGGGGGGCGTGTTCACTGTGTTGACTGCTGCTGCAGGTCATGGAGCAGAAGGACTGACAAAACCTGATAGAGCCGTGGGGGCTACTGGTGCCCCTGACTAGAGACTAACAGTCAAGCAGTGGGGGCGAAATTCAAGGAGACGGTTGGAGATGGGGAGGATAATACAGATCTTCTCTGTATAACAGGATTTCGCTGTAATGGGGAGAGACACGTGGTATCTGGGGAAGTTATGTCCAGATGGGGCATTTACAACATGCTGCATTGGTGGGAGTGGTCCAGGGCAGAGGGGATGGTTGTTGGAGCAATGACCTTGAATAGGCGAGAGGGCTTGGCCTTGGCTGGGCCCCAGCTGGTCACCCACAATCACAGGAGGGAGTTGCCAAGGCTTGCAGCTATGCCTCCGGAATGACACCTACTGTGTGCAGCATAGCTGTGGCTTTCTCCAGCTGCTTTCAGCCATGACGGTGCAGGTACAGAGTTATGAAGGTGCATTTAACCAGGGTTGAGGTGTCTCTGGGTGAGGACAGTGGAGGGAGAGAAGGGTGAGGTAGATGAAGGAGTGATGACAGTGATGTCCCATGACACTGAGCCAGGCAAGGAGAGGCATGAGGACCTGAAGCGGGTGGTGGGTGCTAGAGGGTGGAGGGTCAGTGGGTTGGAGGTCCTAGGGAGCTGGAGAATTGTCAGAGTCCTGGTATGAAAAGGAGTGAGTCAGAAAGATAGGAGTGTCCAAGAGCAGCATGTTTGAAACCCAGGGCGGAGTGGGCACAGTGATTGGTGATAAAAGAGCTGGGTATGAGAGCGGGAGAGTGTGGGGTAGAGGAGAGATCAGGAGAGGGACCCTGGAACTGAGAAGCAGGGTACAGGAGCCAGCTTCGTGGATATTGAAATCACCAAGAAAGGAAAAGTGGGTGCTAAAGAGGGTGGCAGCGATCTGGGAGAAGTCTTCAAAGAGTGTAGGGTGTGAGTTGGGGGGCATGGATGACCTGGGGGTCTACAGATAACTGCAAGGAGGGGGGGGTGTCTTATCTCATGATATGTTAATTTATTTGCATACCTTTGTTTTTTTATTTAAACTTCTGATTGTACAGTTAACAATATCATGACCTGGAATGGAAGTGGGAGGGCCATCCTACTAGATTGGAAAATTTCTGAGGGAAATGAACCTCTTTGGGTTGTCTAGGGCAGGAAAGGGAGGAACTAGGTGAACCAACTCTAATTTCCCATAAGCATCCTAGAGCTGACTTCCCCAGGGGCAGGCCCCACGGACAGGTGGTGGGGTTGACCTGGCCTCCAACAGGGCATCCTTCAAAGGTTCCTCCAGGTGAAATGGGCTTTTACAGGAGGAGAGTTCAAGGAAGCCATGAAGCTTCACCCCAGAGAAGTGCTTTGTGAATGGTAGAATTTCTGTTCCCAGAGCAGCCATCGGTGGGGGGGGATAGTTTTGGAAGAAGGGACCCGTCACTCAGCGCCCTGGGCCTCCCTGTGGTGACAGCTAGGTTCTCAGTATGTAGAGAGATGGAGAAGTACCTTCAGGCTGGCCCTACACTGCCTGCCGGCCCCTGCTCCTGGGATAAGTTAGGCCTGACCATGCTCCGATCTCCACTTCTGGAGGGGCTTTTAAACAGATGTTTGTCGCAAGGCATAGTGTGGAAAACATGGCCATTTGTAACATCTGGATGCACTCCTTAAACTTTCTGCATTCTCTGAAGTTCCCTGGAAGAATGCAGACACCTGGCAGGATCCTGGGGTCCACCTGTGTGCTGCTGGCCAAGGAGGCCATTTCAATCCTGATCCCACCACCCCCTTCCCTGCCCCACATACACCTACAAACACAGCTGGGGTACAGATTCCAGGTGAGGACACTGCTGTGGACAGCTCTAAGCAAGGCCGGTGTTAGACGTGTCTACATAACACACTTCTCTTGGCACCACCTTGTGGGAAATCATTCTGCTAAAACGCTTTCTATTGTTTTTATTTCATCTGATGACTATTTTTTTTTATTAAAGAAATTTTATTGGGGAACAGTGTGTTTTTCCAGGACTCATCAGCTCCAAGTCAAGTAGTTGTTTCAATCTAGTTGTGGAGGGCTCATCTGATGACTATTTTAAATGGATGCCAAAAACAAAGAACAAAAATAACCTCAGAGAAAGTCCCCGCCTGCCTGTCTGCGGTAGTGTTTTAATGTTTCTGGGAGAGGAAAATTGTGAAGAATCTTGGAAACCTTGAGAAAACTTGAGGGCGTAAAAAAGAATGTTGTTCTTCAGTGGGTGAGGTCATTATTTTTTTTTTTAGGATCTGAGAGATGACAGTTGACAAGAAGAAAATACCTCATGATGCTTGTACAGTTGTGGTCTTCCCCTGCCCCTCCCCCAGCAACAACTAGGAAGATGGATGGATGGATGGATGGATGGATGGATGGATGGATGGATGGATGGATGGATGGATGGGGAGGGAGGGAGATAGGGAAGTGGGAAGGAGGGCAAGTGAGCTCCCTTTTCTTTAGATGAGTAACCAAGAGAATGTGTGTTCTAAGATTCTCAACTCTTTCAGGATAGCATATTTAAAATTACCCCCTATACACATTTCAAGAGCACCTGCCCTCCAATGGATTCCAAGTCCCCAAAGGCACATCCTGAAAGTTATCCTCACTCTGTGCTTGGGAGGAGGGGACTATGCCCCTAATCTGCAGAAGAAGCAGCTGAGACACAAAGATGGGAAACAGCCAAGCCACACTGCTCGGTGGCAGCTGAGCAGGGTCCTGGTACTCACCCCTTCCCCACCTACTTTTGGTTCCCTGCTGGGTATAGGCTGTTAGATGGTTCATGTATTTTCCCCCATGGAATGAGAATTAGGACTCCAAGTCTCATTGACCATTAACCTTTGGTGGAAGAGATTGGGGTGTTGTAAGTGGGGAAAGTGTGGCACTTCTGATGTCAGTGGATCGTCACCAGGTTTCAAAGCAGCGTTCATAACTCTGTCTGTACATTGGACTCGTTCGGGGAGCTTGGACCAGCCCCCACCTCAGAGCTCAGTTGAATGGGGAGAGGCCTGGAGCTTGCAATCTTCTCATCCCCTGTGTGACTCTGATGACTCTGATGTCCCACTAAGGTGTATAACCACAGCCACAGGTGGGGTATGCCTGTCTCCCTTCCCCACCCTTCCATGCCAGCTGCTCCCCTCTCTTAGAAAGGTAGAATGTAGGGGTGTTGTGAAGAGCATATATTTAATGAAGGCCTATTTTGCAATAAACTCCTGTGAATAGGTCAAATGAAGAGCCAGAGAGGATGACAATAATTTCCTCTAGTCCTTTCTGATGCTGTCAGGCTCTCAGAAGTCCTGGGTTTTGTCCCAAATGCAAAGTGACCTTTCAAAGAGAGGTGCAACCATGCAGCTATGTCGACCGGGATAAGAGCATTCAGATCAATGTCTCTTGCTTTCTCACAACTATTTCCTTCTCTTTCTTCATGTTTTTCCTTTTACTCTGCCTTCCCCGCTCACTGCTCCCTCATCCCCCTTTTATCCCATTCATTCATCTCCTTCTGTCTTCTAAATCCTTTTTCCCTGCCATCTTTTCTCATAGGAGGAAGCGCTCAATGGTGGACCACCTATGAAAGGCTTAACAGAAGAAGTGAGTTTAAGGGGAACTGGGGTGGTTGACCATGGGGGACTCATTTTATTTTCCCCCTTATTTTAAAAAATAATTTACTTTTACTTATACGAGGACTGTGTACATACATTCTCATGGCACGCAAGAATTCAGATGTGATCAATACAATCTCCCTTATCAACTGCCTCATTCCACTGCTTTGCCCTCCCTCCCATCAGATCAGTGAGTTACCTTCCTCACCTTTTTTAATGCTTTTACCCACGTATACATAATGTGACTTACAGAAATATATTATTTCAAATATCCTAAATCATAGCCAGTGAATATGTTCGATAACTTGCGTTTTCACCTAGCTCTATGCCCTGGGGAGTCTTCTAGGCTTGTACGTCTGCTGTGTTTCATGGCTGCACAATCGCACATAATATGGATGTCCCATAGTTTAAGCATTCACCTGTTGATGGGCACTCAGGTTACTTCCAAAATGTACCCCAGAAATACAAGGTATGGAGGTGAATACTGTTGCAGATGCCTCCTCATACACATACAAAAGTGTTTCCTTAGGTAGATACTGAGCTGTAGAATCAGTTCCAATGGCCACGCCAAATTGCCCTCCAAATAACTTCCTTTATTGACACTACCGCCAGGGTATTGGGACCAGTTGTCTCTTATCATTTTAGTTTGCATTTTCTTGATTTCTAGTGAGGTTGAGCCCTTTTTAATCTGATTACCAGTCTTTTTTTTTTTAAGGTTAAATGTTTATTTTACTTTTAAAGCAACAATTGGCAAAACAGACAACCCAAAAACAGAAACAAATGTAATTTTTGCATATAATTTTTTTCTTGGTAAGCCTTTTACAAAGTTGAGCTTCTAGCATACATGTAATTTTCAGCTTGCTTGTTTATTTAGCATGAGCTCCTTCCTAGACATTGTTTGGTGGTTTTTGGCATGAAGCACAAGTGTTTAAATCTGCCCTTTTTCTGCCAGTTACTGTTGGCTAAATAGCGAAATATAATTACAGCTAACATTTATTCCTTCAGGGCCTGGTCTAGGCTCTGGGACCAAGTCATGAACAGAATGGACCCATAACCGCTGTCCTCCTAGCCCTTACTATCTGGCGGGAAAAGAAAGACAATAAACAAAGACAGAGCTAGGATATTAGAAGGTGATACATGCATGACGCAGGAAGGGGCGGGACTGCTTGGCTTACGTAGACCGGACTTTTGAGCAAAGATTTGAAGAAGATGGGAGTGAGGCTGCTTGGGAAGGAGTATTCCAGGCGGAGGGAGTATCAAAGGGCAGAGCTCTGGAGTGGGGGCGTGCCCCACTTTCAGGAAGAGCTCTGGGCCAGTCTGGCGGGAGCAACGTGAGCAAGGGGGCGCGTTGTAGAAGAGCCGGGTCTGCAGGGCCACGCTGGCCCTGGTGAGGACTCTGGCCTTTTCCCTGGTGAGATGGGGAGACAACGGAGGTTTCTGAACAGAGGAGGGACACGGTTTGACTCTGGATGCTGTTTGGAGAATAGACTCAAGCGAGCGGCCCGGGGTGGGAATGGGAGGGTGGGCGGGAACGGAAGCAGGGAGACCTGGAAGCTGATTGGTCCAGTCGAGAGGTGATGCTGGCTTAGAGCCGTGTGGTCACTGTGGAGATGGTAAGAAGCGGTCAGATTCTCCTTGTACTTTGAAGGCACAGATGACATGATTTTTTAAATGAAGGACCTGGAGGATGTTTAGCCTGAACACGTAGAAGGATAAACTTTCCAGAAATGAAATGTGGGAGACCCTGGAAGAGCAGCTTTGGGGAGCAAAAGTCAATTTCAGTGTTTGGACGTGAAAGGTTTAAGATAGTTTTAGATATTTTATCTTAGTGGGGATGGTGATCAAGCAGTTAGATGTGCGAAGGTGGCATTCAGGCGGGAATAACCTGGAGGTGGACATTTGTAAATAGCATGTGGGTGTTATTTTAAGCCCCAGGAGTGAAGGAACTTAGAGAAGAGGGTCAAGGATTGAACCCTTAGAAGTTGGGGAGATGAGGAGGAACTAACCAAGGAGACTGAAGTGTGTCCATGTAAACTCATTAATTCTTCACAACAATTCTGTGAAAAAGATGCTTTTGTTGTTGCCAGCTTACGAGGGAGGAAACTGAGGCACACAGAGGTTGAATAAGCTGATCAAGGTCACACAGCAAGTATGTGGCATTCTGAGGTTTGAACCAGGTGGTCTTACCGCAGTTGCCATACGCTTAATCTCTCTGCAACTGGTAGTTTTGGTTATTACAGGTGGGGAAAACCGAGTCTTAGAGATGAAGTGACTTTCCCTAAGGTCATAGAGTAAGTAAGTGATGGAGTAAGAATAGGAACTCAAGAGTCTCTGCTTCAAGAACTCAAGCTCCTAATCACTACGTTACACTGCCTGCACAACAGGAAAGTTGTTTGTTTTTTAAGATAGGAGCAAAAAGCCTTTCTCCCCTGTCAAATCTCTGCCCTTGAGCAGCGTCCTGTCCTCCCGACACACAAGGCTTTCCTGGAGTCTCACTGTGGATGGACAGTGAGCTCCACCAGTCTCCAGTCCCACCTCTTCTTCCTGTTCCTCTGCTGCTCAGTTAGCTGGCCCAGCATAAAGGAAACGGTTGAACATGGTCCTGACTTTGAGAAGCTCCAGTCTTAGGCCCGCAGGATTCCGCTCCTGGCCGTCCCGTGCCTGGGCTCTGGACTCTGTGAGGCCATGAGGAAGCCATGTCCCCCCTCAGTTCCCTCACAGGGAAACAAGAGCATTGAGTGACAGCAGTGGTTCCCAGAGGACCTTCACATTGCCCCCTGGGTAATCCTTGATTAAGAAGCCCTGGACAAGGGCCAGCTGAGTGGCGCATTGGTTAAGAACTGGCTTGGGACGCCAGAGGGCCCCGGTTCGGATCCCACATATGAGGGCCAGTGACACTGCCCTCCACAGCTAAGATGCTGAACAACAGCTCAACCTGGGGCTGGGCTGCCTGTGAGTCGCTGGCGACAGCGTAGACTGCAACCCCTGCTGTAGTGGGTTGCCATGGGCTACCGTGTGTAGCCAGCAGCCAGTGTGAGTGGCCAGCAGCCGCCTTGAGCGGCCATCCAGAAGCCAGCGACTGATCTGCCTCGCCTGGGAAGAGCGCAATGATGGTGCCAACTTGGGCCAGTGAAGCAATGTCCTCCACAACTAGACTGAAAAACAAAAGGATAGCAACTTGTCTGTTCCCCTTCCCCCAATTCCCCAATAAAAATAAAAATAAAATTTTTTTAATCTTAAAAAAAAGAAGCCCTGGATAAGATGACTTTTTAAATAACTTTTCACTTTGAAATAATTGCAGATGTCCATAAAAATGACAATAATTGTACAAAGAATTTTTACATATCCTTCACCCAGATTCTGCAGTTGTTAATATTTTAACCACGTTTTCTTCCTGTCTCTCGATCAATTGATAGATGATCGATTGATAGATCAGTAGATAGTATATAGAGAGAAACTTTGCTGATTTATTTGAGAGTGAGCTGCAGGTATGATTCCTCTTTATTTCTAAAGACTTCAGTGAGTATTTCCTAAGAAGAGGAGCATCCTTTTACATAATCACAGTGCAGGAAATAAACCTTGATACAATACTATTATTTATTTTTAAAAATTCTAGGTTCCTCAAAAAAATTAAACATAGAATTACCACGTGATCCAGCAATTCTACTTCTGGGTATATATCCCAAAGAATTGAAAGCAAGACCATGAATAGACATTTGTACACATACGTTCACAGCAGCATTATTCACTATAGCCAAGAGGTGGAAACAACCCAAATGTCCATCAGTGAATGAACGGGTAAACAACATGGGGTAGATACGTACAATGGAATATTATTGAGGCTTAAAATGAACGAAATCCTGTCATATGCTGCAACATAAAGTCTTCCTTGAGGACATCATGCTAAGTGAAATAAACCAGACACAAAAGGACAAGTGCCGTATACTCTACTTTTATGAGGCACTTAGAATAGTCAATTCATAGAGAATGAAAGTGGAATGGTGGCTGCCAGGGGCTGGCAGGAGGGGGAAATGGGGAGTTGTCATTTGATGGGGACAGAGTTTTAGTTCGGGATAATGAAAAAGTGCTGGAGATGGAGGGCGGCGATGGTTACACAACACTGTGACTGTTCTTAATGCCAGAGAATTATATACTTAAAAATGGTTGAAATGGTAAGTTTCATGACATATATATTTTACCACAATAAAAAAGAAAAAATCTGGTTCCATGTCTGATCCAGGTCACACATTACGTTTAGTATCTGACATTTTTATTGGCTTTTTACATCAATACCTATTTGTGCCCTGTACTCATTCTGCCACTTTTTGGCTGTGTGACCGTGGGTCAGTTACTTAATCATGCTGTGCCTCAAATTCCATACTTGCAAAGTGGGGATAATAAACGTGCCTAGGTATCTATGAGGAGTGAATGCTGATGCATATAATGCGGTGCTTACATTTAAATGAGATCTTTACACATTCCGGCGATTAATCCTTTGTTATACATGCTGCCACTAGCCTCTCACTTACCATATGTTCATGATTTCTTTGTCACACAGAAGTTTTAGGCTGTGATGTGTAAAACTTGTATGTTGGATTTTAACCGACGGGGACTGTGTTGTCCATGGATGGCGTGAGGCAGACCTCTTAAGGTCATTGTGTCCTTACCTGCTAGCCAGTTGTCTCAATCCCATGTGTTTATTGATCTTCGCTTTCCCCTGATTGGCAACACAGTACTTACCACATCCTAAGTTCCCATTTGTATATCCATTTGTTTACGGATGCAGTTTGGGCAGTGAATCTCTGTCTAGTCCTGTGCTTATTCAGCATGCTGGTGTGGCTCTGGCCACGTAATACACTTTGATATCTGGAAGGGCAAAGCCCTGGGGAGACTTAGACACCACTGGGTGTGGTGTGGAAAGTGGGGCAGTTTGTCTTTAGCCCCATCCACCTCCCCCACCCCAGGATTTCCCTTTTCACTCCCGCCCCAGCATGGGCAGTGTCTTTCCCTGTCCTCCACCAGGTCTGACCCTAAAATACTGTCCATCCTAGATGCAAATGACTGATAACGGATTTTAATTCTTTTTGGTATGAAATATTTTAAGTGTACCGATAACAGCAGAGAGTCAGCATCTACTTTGAATACAGAATAAACATCTGTACTCCCCTATTTACTGAATCTGAACCCTTGCCACCTTTTTTTCAGCCTTTCAAATTAAATAAATGGTAACAGATATGATGGAGGCCCCAAACCATGTGAATTGGATGTGCATCGTTCCCATTTATTAAAAAAAGTCCTGTTTTTTCCCACCTGTTTCTGTACCATGACTTTTCTTCAGGCAAACGCCACCCTTGTCCCCCAGAGGACTTGCTCTTAGCTGTAAACTGGTTTACCTTGAAGGAGAAACACTCTACACATAGAAATCAGGCATGGGAGCAGGGCGGGGCCAGGCCGATGATTATGTTCCTGAGGTGGTGGCCCCTCTCTCCATCCTGGAATCATCCCATGTAAATAAGGACCGATTTGGGAAGGTCTGCGTCAGGAGATTTTTCCAGGCAGTGTCTCAGAGGCAGGAGGTGGTGACCGAGGCCTAAGAAGAAAGAAGATAGCTTTGAGAGTGGGGTCTGAGCAGAGGCTGGGAGGAACTTTGGAACAGGGAAGGGAGAGCTCCCAGCGGGCTTTAGGACCGAGAAGAAACACTCTTCCCAATGGAGGGGATTCAGGCAGCATCAGAGGAGAGGATGGTCCTGGGGCTGCTGCTTGGCTGAGGGGTTGGAGGTGAGATGCCACACAGGCCCAGAGGGGAAAGCTTCCTGGGATAACCAAGGTGACTCACTACATCCTCCTCCCGGGGCCAGGGAGGCTGTACACACCGCTGGACCACACTCCCTCCTGTAACAGCATTGCCCGGGGCCCTGGCGGGTCTCTGGGATGGATGTCTGTGGACTTGACCACCTTGCTTTCCTTCCCGCAGATGAGCCCCTTGCTCACTGCTTGTCTGTGCCATGCTGTTAGATCCACTTCCTCATTTCCATCTCTGCCTCCGCTACTGTGGAAGCCCGAACGTTGGACTCGTCCTGACCTGCCTCCCTAACAGGGTCGCCCTCCTCTTCTGACCCTGTCTACCCAGGAAGTCTCTGCTGACCCCTTAGCCAGAGAGTCGCACCTGCCATGGCCTTCCATGGTTCACGCCTGGGCTTGCTCTTTCTCCAGGAACCCTGGCTTGCCCGTTTTCCTTCCCTGCACCCGCCCCTGTGCCCCTGCACCCCTGCACCCCTGCTGGGAGCACACTCTTCCTTATGTCAGCCTAGCCCTCCACCTCTCCTTGGACGTATCGCCTCTCCTGTGAAGGGAGGCGCCTGTTACAGGTCCCACACCAAAGGCACTCGGGAAAAATGGCTTCTAGCTGGCGGGTATAAAGTTAAGGATGACTTTGACGAAGCAGAGAGGTCTCATCAGAACTTGGAACTGCTCTTGGAAGCCTAACCAGGGGGATGAGGTTGCATATGGCTGTGCATGAAGCCTTGGTCTCTTCTATGCAATGCTTGTCCAGAGGAGCTATCAAGGCTTGCCAGCCCCGCCCTGTCAGGGACCATGCTAACCCCAGGTGGAGGTGCACCCACCCTCAAGTCACTGTTCTGTGGGATGTCACATCAGCACTACGAACCCGGGGTTGAAGCGCTTGGGACGCCCAGGAAGGAGGAAGCCTTTCTCTGCAAGGCTGTCCTCAGATGGGATGAGGAATGCCTGATCCAGTCTTCTTTCCAGCCAGGAGCCATTGTGTGCCTTGGCTGTCCCCAACCCTGTCATTCAGGCTCCAACCAGGAAAGGAGAAACCTCTTAAGTATGTAAAGTAGAGGGATTGTTTTTACAGTAGTTTAAACATTTTACATACACACACACATACAAATGTGTATATGTATGTATTATTCAAAAAATATGCATGCATACATATATATATGTGTTACTTTTTATTTTGAAGTTATCTTAGCCTTATACCAAAAGTGCAAAAATAGTACAGGGTGTTCCCATGAACCTGTCACCCAGCTCCCCTCATATGAGCACCTTACGTAACGTAACCACAGTACAATCATCGGAACTAAGAAATTAACATTGGTACCATGGGACTTTATTTGGGATTTTACCTGTTTTACCACTAATGTCCTTTTTCAGTTCCAAGATCTAAATTTGTATCAGATTGTAGTGTCTCCTTATTCTCTTCCAATCTGTGACCCTTTCTTGGTTTTTTCTCGTCTTCTACAACCGTGACACTTTTCTTGAAGAGTACTGGTCACTTATTTTGTAGAAAGTTTATCAATGTGGGTTGCCTGACGTTTTCTCACGATTAGATTGAGGTTGTGCATTTTGGGCAAGAACACCTCAAAAGTGATGTGCCCTTCTCTGCATCATATTGGGGAGACTGTGATTATAATAATATGTTTTATTATGGGTGATGTTATCCTCAGTCACTTGGTTTTAAGGTGGTGTCTGACGGATTTCTCATTTTTTCCTTTTCCCACCCGATAATTAATAAATATCTTGGGGAGATGCCTTGAAACTGAAAATATCCAGACAGAGGGAATTTAATCCAGGGAGTTGGTTACCCAGATGATAAGGGAGCTGAGAGGCTAAGCAACCCAGGGATTAGCAATTCCAGGGAGCTATTACAGACATGAGGCACAAAGGGAGGAGTTGGTGCTGCCAGAGCCGGGGTCGGTCACGCATAGAAGGCCTATCTGGTGAGGGCTGGAGCCATGAAGGAGACCCAGGCACTGCTGGCAATGCCACCTGAGGCAGAGAGAGTGGACAATGCCCTGGGGTTTCCCTTCTTCCTGTCTCCCATTGGCCAAACTCAGCTGATGCAGGAGCCTGGGGGTCACAGTCTGCAGGGGTGGGCCCCCCTGCAATGCAGAGCAGGACTCCATAAAAAGTGGATATGAGGACCAGGAATCACCCAGGACTGGTACGCCTCCTTTGCCACTTCCCTCGAGCTGTGCTGTCCAGTAAGTAGCCACTAGCCACTCGTGACTAGTGTCACTCGACATGCGGCTGGTCCAAATTGACGTATGCTCTAAGTGAATTTCAAAAACTTAGTGTGGAGAGAAGAATGTAAAATATCTCATTAATAATTTTTATGTTAATTACCTATTGAAGTGAGAATATTGTAAATATATTGAGATAAATAAAATATATTAAATTTAATTTTGATTTTTTTTAAAATGTGGCTACTTGATCATTTAAAATTACACCTGTGACTCCTATTTGTGGCTGTCATTTTACCTGGACAACACTGCTCTAGAATACACACTTGTACCTGCCTGTGTCATCAAGATTGTAATAAAATACCTTTCCTGTACAAAGGTCATACCCTCGGCTCACAGTCAGGAGGGTGTGTCCAGCCAAGGCTTTACAAATCTGGGACTGCACTGGCCTTGAGCCATCCACGCTTACCCACAGTTTTGACAATGAATGTAAAACAGAGAGATTGAGCTCCTCTGCTTTTCCTGTGTCACACAGTTAAGTCAAGGTCAGTGTTCAACACTAGTCTGAGAGGCTAGCTAAGATTTAACACAATAATAAAAACCTCACCATATAGCTAGATAGCACCTCACAGAGGAAGGGCCATGCTGTTATTCCTACTTCATATCTCTACCGTATTTTCATGGTTTACAAAGGTCCTCACCTCAGTCTTGCAGAGTTCACCCAGCCTTGCTGTCCCCATTTTACAGATGACAAAATGAAGCCCAGGAGATCACATGGGTTTCGCTGGCTTTCAAACTTCTGGTACATCACTTGGGAGCTTGTCAAAATGCTGATGTTCAAGTCTCACCTTCTCAGAATCTGATTCAGTGGGTGGAGGGCGGGTTGCAGGAACCCCTGTGTGGCCGGATTTGGGGACTGTCATGCAGGTGGTCATAAGGCCACACTTTGGGGCATGCGGGGCCTCTGAGCGCTCAGGGTGAGTGGTGGCACTTTGTTCCAGCCAGGACCCTGGTGGTCAGCCTAGGACTCTTCCCCAGTGCCAGGCTGTCTGTCAGTCCTAAGGTCCATCGTCTTTTGTAGCTGGGCATACGGGAGGGTCACACACTCACGCCTCACCTCCAGCTCTGGCCTTGACACTGTAGAGGGCTAGTGTGGCTGAAGCCAGGTCAGGCGGTCAAAGGCGCTGCTGGTGGTTCTTATAGTGACCCGGTGTCGTGTCTGGTTGACTTCAGAATATAGCTGTATCTTCATCACTTCGGTGGGTTTAGGTGAAGGGAAATGAGCTTGCCTTCCCCAAGCGTACACCAAAGGGGTCACCTCCATGTGGACTTTGGAGATGCCACCTTGGGCCTGCTGGTAGGGAAGGATCTGCCCGTGAAATGGCCGAGCAGGATTTGGTCGTGTGGCAGGAGGGCAGGGCCATGGCTGGGGGGCCCGGGCGGAGTGAGGATGAGGCTATATGTCTCCCCGTCACTGACCGTTCCTTTCTCCCCTGCAGTGGACAGCGGACTGCAGCGAGCAGCTGGACAGCAGCTGTTCCCTGTCCCGAGGACGAGCACCCCCACAGCAGGTAAGGAAGCAGCTCTGTGCTCCATCTCGGGTTGTCGGTTGTCGTGTGGTGTCCTGTCTGCATTCCTGAGAGGTGGTGATGCAGAGAGAGCGCAGGAAATGGGAGAAGGGAGGGTGCAGTCTGCCCTCTGGAAAGCCCTCCCTGAACATCCAACCCGCAGTGAAGCCCCTCCCTCCAAACACATAGATCCATAAGATTTCTTTTCAGTAGCAGCATGTTTATAATAACAAACATCTGCTAGCAACCAAATGTCTATGGAGAGGAGAATGGATAAATGATATGTGATAGAGCCTCACAGTGGAATGCTATTCAGCAGCAAAACGAATGGACTGGAGAGGTTCACTCATCGAGGTTCACATGAGGTTCCCATGATGGATCCCAGAAACAACGGGACTCCTAGGGTTTTGGTGCTGGTGGGTCACTTTGGAGGTCACTTGTGGTCCAGGTTTGTGGAGGACCCAGAGGGGCAGGGTGAGAAGGTGAGGTGTCAGAGACCCGTCTATTTCTCCCGGCAAACCAGCTGTCCTGGAACCAGGCTGAAGCTGGCGGCTTCTCCCTATTTGCTTGCCTGTGAGATCCCAAGCCCCCACCCCCACCTCGTGTGGGTCCAGTAGCTGGAGTAGCCCTCTTCAAGAGCCTGTCCCTGGGGACCTCTAGGCTCGCTCTGGTGATCCAGCTGTTGTGCTGACACCTCATCCTTCCCTGCGGGAGACAGTGGGATTAGAGGCTGAAAAAGCCATTTATCTCCACTCTCCAGCCCAGCCTCACGCTGCACCCATCCAGAGAGCTGAGCGGAGCCCTCCTGGGCACCTGCAAAAACTTGCTGTCGACTTCAGAGATCTGGCTGAGGCAAGAGGGAAGGCTGCTTGGCCTGCGCCCCGGTGGGGTCACACCCCAGGTGCTGTACGAAGCTGCCCAGAGCTCAGGACAGCTCAGCAGGCTGAAGAGGTCAGGCGTTTCAGGAAGGGCTTCCTGTAGATTGCTCAGCCACGGAGTGTTTGCAGAGGCCTGGTGCTAAGCTCTGGTCGGCCTGGAGCACTGCCCCTGCCTTCAGGGGCCTTCCCACTTCGTTAGATGGACAAGGTGGCGTGTAAAAGAATGCCCAGTGCAGGGCAGGAGATGCAAGTGTCCAAGGGGTGGTTCAGACGTAAGAAGCCTGGGCAGGCCCGAGCACAGGGGCAGGACTTAGCTGACCGCCTTGAATGGAAGGCCTGGTTGGAGCCCGCATGCTGTCCATCATGCTGCATGGAAAGCCAGGAGCAGGATCGTAGTGAGGTCTCCTGAGGTCAGGAGAACTTCGGTTCAGTGGTGAAAGGCCTGATGTAGAGGCATTCGTGACTCAGTGAATTAGGGTACAAACAATTGATAGAAACAAGATGGAAATTTCTTTCTCTCTTAGTACAGCCTGGGTGGGTATTCAGGGCTGGCATGGCAGTTCAGTGGTATCAGGACAGGCTCCTCCCTTCTCCTTGCTCTGCTCTGTCCAGGGTGTTGCTTTTGTTTCCATGGTCCCTGATGGCTCACCTCCCAGTGGGAACGCCTGGACCTCTGGTCTCCCCTCATGAAGCAGCCATCTTTTGATGCCCTCTGGTGGAGGGATCAAAGCTGGTCGGCATTTCTCATGTGACTGCGTCATGAGGAAAGCCTCATGTACCTGGCCTGTGGCAGCTGGCCCTGCCCATGCTGCCCTGTCCTAGAGCAGTTCCCTGATGGAAGGAGAACCAGGGAGCTTCCCATTAAAGAGTGCCTTTGCTGGGTGCAGCTCTGGTGGGATGCTGCTGGTCCATTCAGCCAAGACTCCCTTCAACCTGGTCCAGAAGATAGATACAGGAGCACTGGGCCGGCTCATGGGGACCCCTCCCAGCCCCAGGAGCACACCCACTGGCTTCCTCATGACACCCTCTCATCCAGGCAGACCCTCCCCCTAATTCATGGTGTGATAAAGCTATTCCATGTACATCTGCCTGTCCCCTCAGCCAGCTGGTCAACCACAGATGAGCTCTAGGGCTGACTCTACTTCCCTGACTGCCCCTGGTCTAGGGCCTTGCATACAGTAGGTGCTCATAATGATGCCTGAGTTGACCCAGACCCAGTCCATGCAGTCAGACCCTAGTTGGCCCTATGCCTCTGCCACACCAACTTTGCTGAGCTTTCTGAGTTCGTTGGGATGATGGGACAGCTCTGCCTCCCTACATTCATCCATGGGGGAGAATTCATTTCAGGGGAAAATTGAGACTGAATTGAAACTGGGGTGACTGGCTGCTCTGGCACTGCCCCTGACTGCCCCACTTTGGCCACATGTGCCCAAGAAAAGGGGGATGCTGGCAAATTCTAAGGTGTACATTCTGCCCAAGAAGCTCCGTGTGATGGGTCACAGACCATGCCCTGAATGAGGGGCCCAGATGTGGGAGCCATCTAGGGTTAGTCATACATTGGCATTATTGAACATTATTATTGAACTAATGTAAAAACAAAAAAACAGGGCTGGCCAAGTCGCGTGTTGGTTAGGAGTTGGCTTGGGACACCAGCTCTGAGCAGCAGGGCCCCGGTTCGGATCCCACATGAGGACCAGTGACACTGCGCCCTCTACAGCTAAGATGGTGAACAACAGCTCGACCTGGAGCTGGGCTGCCGTGAGTCGCCGGCGACGGCGTAGGCTGCAGTGGGGCTGGCCAGCAGCTGGCGTGTGCTTTCGTGAGCTGCTGTGAGCGGCCGTCCAATGGCCGGTGAGCGACTGCCTCACCCGGGAAGAGTGCAATGATAATATCAACATGGGCCAGTGAAGCGACGTCCTCCACAACTAGACTGAAGAACAAAAGGACAGCAACTTGTCTGTTCCCCTTCCCCAATTCCCCAACGCTGTTCCCTTCCCCCAATTCCCCAATAAAATCTTTAAAAAAAAACAACCCAACCTTGCCTTCTCTGAAGCCTTTCAAAGGCACAAAATGGGAGAAAACCTAGAGTAAGTAGGCTGAGCCCCATGAGATGGGAGAAAGGGGGCTCAGAGAGTCCAGAACAAAAAATGGGCTACACATAGTCCCGAGGAGGCCTGTCCAACCACCAGCAGTTGGGATCCGACTGTATGTGGACTGGTTGACATCCTAGCAGCCTCTTTCCAAGACAGCTTGTCCATCATCTATTATTTAGTTAAGAGGTTGGACAGTTTTCATCTTTTCATCATATTGGGGGAAATGCATAGAGATGATTTAGAGGAAGGCATCTGAAATGAGAGAGTGCAACCCAGTTCAGTCAGAAAACATTTCAAGGTCCCAACATGGGGTTTAGCATTTGGGGATGAAAGCCAAAAGTCATATAAAGGTGTGAAGTCAGGAGCGAGCAGCTCTTCTCCATCTACACAGAAGAGCCGAGGAAAGGAAATTAATGTGCCCAACAGCAGCAGGGCCTATGATTAGATCTTGAGAAGGACTTCTTGACTGGAGGACTTGGCTGGCGGTGTTGACTGTTGAGCAAGGTAATGAAACCTTGCCGGGAACCTAATGAGCATACCTCCTTATCAGACAGGTTCATGCAAAGCCCTGGGAAAGGTGGGGGTGTGTCAGAAATGGTGTCTCCGAGTCCTGTGATCCCACACTCCCTGAAGCGATGAGAGAATGGCAAACCCTCCCCCCGCGCCCCCCCCAGCTCCATCATGAATGCCAGCAGCAAACAACTAAAGCATCAGGAGAGAGTGAAAGAGCCTTGTCTTGTACCAAGGGTCAGGAGAGCTAGGTATTGACCCAGGTGTGGCCCAATTCCCCATGCCTCTTTTGCAAGATGAGGTGTTGGACTACGCAGACTCTCTGAGCCTCTCTGGAAATCTTTCATTGTTTACATTTGCTGTCTCCACGAAATGACCCACTGGATCCAAATAGCTGCTCAAAGCAGCAGCAGGTGTGGGTTGCCCAGGTTTTTCCACTGTTCCCTCATCCACCCTCATACCTGTGCCAACCTGCAGGCTAAGTATATCCTAGGTGCCAACAGTGACTCTGACCCAGGAGATGACCCGTGGTAGGCAGAGGTGAACCTCTAATTACACTGCTTACCTCTGGCCCACAGAAAAGCGTAGAAGGAGTTTTCGGCCAGCCATCTCGCTGCCCTTCCGTAATTATGCTATTGGCTCAGTGCCAATTTAAAAAACTCATTAGTACAAATGATATCTTAAGAAAGTGCCTAGATTGTTAATCAGCTTCTGTGGGTATTTGAGAAATATCATGTGTACGTTCATGACACTGCGTTCTATTTGGCCAGTATTTTTTGAGTACCTACTACAAGCTTGGCAGACGCATACGAGCTAGAGCCTTCTGGCTCACCACCCGTTTGCAGAATAGAGGCTGGTGAACATGAAATAAGCTAAAGACGCTCATGTTAAGTCCCCCACAGCGACGTCCTGACCACAGGGACTGCAGCCATTCCAGAGTGGTCCTGTTGGTCTCTGTGGGTAGGGAGGCATCTAGCAGGACAGGAGACTTGGTCTGTGCCTTTGGGAGTGAGTAGCATGTTAGATGGAAAGGAAAACAGAAGAAAATGAAGGAAGACATGGTGTTAGCAAAGGCTTGAAGCTGGGCCCAGTGTTGGGATGTTGGGGCAGCACGAGAAAGCACAGTAGAGTGGATGGTTGGTGTTGGGTGTGACGAGTGTGGTGGGGGATGAAGACAGTGACTGTGGAGGTGCCTGTGTGCTGCGGAGATGCTGGAACTGCTGTCCAACCCCACCACTGGGTATGCACCTTGTATATCTTATATTTTCTCTGGCGTTCCATACAAGTAAAGTTTGTCCCTTTGTATCAGTCAGCGTAGTCTGGGTAATGCTGCAGTAACAAACAGCCCCGAATCTCAGTTGCTTTAAATAACCCATTCAGGACCCAGCTTGATGGAGTAGTTGCTGTTTTAACCAGTTATGACAGAGGGCGGGTCACGTGGTGGGTCTTACTTTGGCAATTCAACACACCAACTTAGATGTAACACATGTCACTTCCACTCTGAACTTGTTGCCCAGAACTG